TAGGTAAAACAATATCATTGTACGAAGTTATTAATTTTAAATCTCCCATTGCTGTAGGTTAAAATTCAATTCAGATCTTTTGTACTATTTATGTATGCTTGTTTGTATTCTGTACTACAGAAGTATCCTTTTTAAAGTTTGCGAATAGATCAATTACCGTATTCCTCCGAAATAAGCACGCCTTGGAGCAATTTTTAAAACCAAAATTCTCGTGATCTAGTGATTGGATCTGCATAATTTTGGTCCATTCGAATAAAATGATTCGAATGGTACCAAAATCATACAGATCCAATCACTAGATCACGAGAATTTGGGCTATGCTTATTTCGGAGGAATACGGTATGTGGATAGCTGCGAATAAGGATTTGGCTTTGTGTAATATGTAATATATATAGTTATTGAGAAAATAAGTAATCGCCCATAACAACGAAGCTCCACAATGTTATGTGAACGTGATGAAATGATGTTAGAATAAAAATCCAGAAAAATGGTCAGCAAAAGAATTCTGAAGTTCTTATAAAATGGCGAGAAGATTATCAAATTTTAACGGAACTAAAAATACTTAAGCATATCAAAAACTTTCGACATAAATGCAAACAGCGATAACAAACTAATTAGTTTATATAATCAAAATCTTTTATCTCGGAACTGTGATCAATGGGGGGTAATGATTCGACGTCCGATTTCAGATAAAATAAGTGACGTATTTATTTCAAAAGAAGCGATGTACAAATTCTATTTTTTTAAAGTATGTACTGTACTTATTTACATAAATAGGATCTTTTAAACTCTCACTCATTTTGAAAAAAAGTTAATTCTGAAACCCCCAATATTTTATAATCAATCCTTAAGATAATATCTAGTTAAAAATAAGAATAAAGCGAAAATTAGCCTCTTTACATTTTCTAAATACCATTTAGCCATTATCAAGAGTCTATATTAAAATACGTAAAAAAAAACTTCTAAGCAATGATTGAGTTCGAACGTGTCTTGAAAGCGTATTCAATTTAGGTCTTTAAATATGCTATGACAATCCAATCTATACGTATTCAATAAAATAGATACTGTATACAGATGAAAATAAATGTTAAATGTAACATGAGTGCCAACCAATCAAATTTCGAGTTTGATTTCGTCGATAGTCTCAAAACGCCATTTTCAAAAAAAGTTTTGGAGTAAAAGGAAATAAACATAGATAGTATAAAAATATGAAATAACAAAAATTTTTTGTTATAATAAAAATACTACCTATATTGTAAGGGTACAAATGTTAACTTAGAAGTGAAAACTCATCATTACCCTGAAAATTTTCTGGCATCGTTAACCCATGTAATATTGGGATTCTCGCAAAATAATAATAATAATAATAGTAAATCTATTTGTACACTACGTGTATGTTGATATCTCAAATCCTTATTATAAAACAGCTTTTGGGGTTCTACCAAAAAAATATACTTTTGCAAACTTTTCGCATAAACTACAGTTAAATAATTCTTATACTTACAATATACGTACAGTATATATACTGTATATACAATCAATTTAGAATGAACAGAAAAGAGAAAGAGAGTGAGCTTATAGTAGCTTATAGTAAATTGATCTTACAATATCTAATATCTAACACAACCTTTACTCATCAGTTTTTATAAAGTTTACTAGTTTTATAATATAATAGCTATCCTATAAATTTTATAAGTTTTAATTTCATAGATGGTTTACGAGATATCATCAGTTTTAATAATTACCAATATTTTCGACTGTAAATTTTCGGTTACATGCCGTTCACTTTTTAAAATTACTTTCTGAATTAAAAGAGTTGGAGATTTTGATCAACTTTATTTTTAATGGCAGCCAACAAAAAACCTATTGTTAGAGCCGGGTAAAATTCACCACCCAAATTTATTTTCAGATCAATGCGACATGCATCATTCTAAGTATGAAACGATATTCGTTACCAGTTAGTAGATAGCGAGCATTAAACTTGTTAATTACTATATTCAGTGCACAATTGTAATTTAAATATCACTATGCAGACCATCGCTATCGTTATTTGGACGTAAATTTTTGTCCACACAGCAAATTTATTTACCATGAGGTATATTCGGCTAAATATCGATTCTTCACAGGGAATGAACAATACACGTTGGAGCTAGAAGAATTTCGAAATTTTTAATTTAGTATCCATATTTAATTTCTCCCAGCTTACCCGACAAGATTTTCAAACACGTATTGAACAAATCAACAAAACTTAAAGCTGAATGGGAAAATAACGTTTATGAGCCTAATATTCTTTTCCTCTGGGATTGGATGATGGTGGTAGCGACTATTATAACATGTATACCCTCTATTGTTTATGAGAATTTATTACTTTTCATTCCTGCAGCGTTTTATGTATATACTTTTTCTTTCTCATTATACAGCTTACAAGTTATCCGAAATTACCGTAGTTCAGTAGGTTGAGAGCAATAATATAATTCATTCCAAAAGCATTCTAAATTAAAATATACTTGAAACTTTTACTTATCACGAGGTTGGTAGATACAATAGATAATCAGAAGGGTTCAATTGGCGATATATATACCTTAGAACGATATATGGTGGCAGTTCTTATGCTCACATAATAAGAATTTGCATTTTTAATCATCAATTTTTTAAATTTTTTTTTTTTTTTTTTTGAATGCATGTGGACTTTTCTTTAAAATTATTGTAGTACCTAATTATTGAAATTGGTCAATCAAAAGTACTGTCCACGACTTTCTGAGTAATGAAACTTCACCGCTTCTTAGAGCAACTTTATCCCCAATTATGCCTGTTAGAATTTTTATGAAAATATATAATGTTTATTTATAATAATAATTACCGTAATTAGTTTTAAGATTAGTTTTAATTTTTTGTATCATATCAGACCAATTGTTATTTCCTCATTATTCGATGTATAAATTTCTAAGTTTATTAATATAATTTCGAAATAAATATTTTATATAATGTATGCTGTGAGAATAAGTGTATTTTAAAATTCTTAATTAAATTTATGACTTAGCATTAGTAGTAAAAATTATTTAACGTATATAAATTTATATTTGATCTTAATTCTAACGCGAAATCTTTATTAAATTCTAAGTTTTATTAGTTAATTAAAAAGTTTCGAATCCAACTTAAATTCTTAAAACTAATTAATAACCTTTTGTCTTATTATGTGTTGTACTGTAATTTAATAATATTAATGAACATTTGAATATTATATTCATTTAGATGTTTGGGTCTTTTGGTCATCATTCTTCAAAAAAAAAAAAATTTTTTTTTATTCAGAACGTGGTTTTACTCGAACACCAATTCATTCTTGAACATTGTCTGGCTCATCACCCAATATTTTATTTAATGATAAAAAAGGGATGAGAATTCATTTATGTTCGTATTTCTTCTATTTTCGTGAGATGATATAAAAGTAAATAATTGCGGTAGAATGTTATACAATTTATTCTGTTATGGGATTTAATTTTGATTGATTATAAACTAATACAGTATTAGGAGTTTTTGAAAATATGTGTAAGGGAGGAGGGTTATAAATTCATTCTTTATATTTTATCGTTATTATTTTATACGAAGCTGTCATAATCTTGTTAAAAAGGGGGTTTCAAAGTTAAAATCAGAGAATCTCATTTTATTTTTCCGATTTATAATTTAACATAGTAAAAATACTATTGAAAAAATCCTATTTATTTTCGAAATGCGTCACTTATTTGTTAACTTTGAAACCCCCTAATACTAACATTCTGACGAATTAAAGTTATTTTCATTATGAGTAGATATTTGCAGATGTATACAGCACGTATACGTATCTTAAGGCAAATACGTATGAAGTTTTTAACTGCCTAATTAACACCGATTGAGATAAGATAATGTTAACGTTAAAATATGTACGTAGCCAATCAAAAGAGTGCAAATATTATGGTATATATGGTATATAAAAATAGACCTTTTTTTACGTACGTAGTCGTAAATTAAATTCCCAATTTAGTTGCGAAAAGTATTTTGCTACCGGCATACATGAATTAGTAAGCAAATCTACCTCAAATAAACTTCAGAAAAAAAAGTCAAACAAAGAACCGTTCTGCTTTATCTTTTGCTGAGAATTATTGAAATTCTCAAATACATAAATATACTAAATAACTAGACAGTAACTCTCGACTTCTGGTCGAGAATCGATTCTAAACATTAAATACTAATATTCAAGCAATTACAACCTCGCCTGTAATTTGTATACGAAATGATACCGAATTGTATAAGTGTCGTACTCTAGGAAACATCTTAGAGTTAGCACAGGAAATGTTGTTAGCATTTTTAGATCGAGTCTACAATCAACTGGTTGCTTAGATTATCAATTTTCTGCGATTATAACGATATCGATATGGTTTTAAGTTCCATCATATAAACAAATTATTCTAAACGTTATAAGACATTTTTATCGATAATTTTTATAGTTATCGTCGGTTTTTTAAGAGAATGATGCTTCAATAAAAACTTTCCTTTTACATGAAACCTTGGAAGTAGTCCAAGAAGGGATGTTTACTTTTAAATTTTTTTCCGATGGCTGTGTAGCATACAATAATGAGTAATTTCAGAATTTACGATTGCTAATTGCTAATTGACTTGAGTGATTACATCAATTGTCAAATAATAATTATCACATAATATACTTTGTATATAATTGTGCGAAAATTAAAATGTGTAGAAACGCGTCTAAAAACCAATATTTTTACCAAAATTTCGTTAACATTTTCTAAAATTACCTTAAGATTTTGCAAGCATTTCGCTCTATTGTATTAAGCTAATTTCTTAAGCAAATTTTAATTTCGTCGTGTTACATCTGTACATGACACGTAGTTTTATCACGTGAATACAATTTTTTTTTTATTTTTATCAGTACGTGAATTTTTTTGTTGGCGCGATTTGGATTTGGATTTGGATTACCAAACATCTAAACATCTTTCTTATCAAAAATATTAATTATCAAAAATGAGGTGCATTACCGGTGATGAAGCAGGATTAGTTAAAGGCAAATTATTATTTACAGCCAGACCTCTCTAAGTACACGCCCTTGGGACCACACTTTTATAACAGAATAATAAGAAAAAGTGCATTTATGGAGGTCAAGTATATATTTGGACCGGCACTTGAGCGTGCATTTAGAGAGGTTGTGCACTTATAAAAGTGCACTTGACTGTATTATTTTTTTTTGGTATAAATTTTTAAAAGTTTCTACATGAATTAACTTGATATTACAGTATTTACTATACCAAACGATTATGACCAATATCCCTTAATGGAAGAGACTCCAGATTTAACTATGGGAAAAGTTTGTTGTGAGCAAGGTATACAATTAATGTGTCAAGGAAAGATTTATAATGACCATAACCAGGTTGATAAAATAATATTTAATACCTGTTTAAGTTGGTTAAATTATTAATTTTAATTTATGCTAAAATCGTTTTTTAATTATAATTTATTATTTGATGATATAGATCGTAGTCGCGCGTAATAGTGGTTTAGTACAAATTCTTGATCCGTACAAAGATGGTAAAATGTTCAAAATTTGCAAAGAATTCACCGTTAAAGAGGTTGCTTCCGATGCCCATAAAAAGAATAAAAAGTTTCCATCGAAATTTGTTGGTTTATTCGCAAATAAAAAGTAAGTTTTAATAATAGATTTTAATATATTAATAAATTCAATCTCCTTTTTTTGTTTCATAAAAAATTAATCAATTTATTATGATTATTTATAAAAATTTTAAGCGTCTTGGTGACATGTGTTAGCAATGGCATTATTCGGTATCAACCCATCAATCCTGACGATTCTAACAATGTAATTATATAATTTTTGGTTTTTGGGGGTTTTTTTTCTTGATATGGTTTGAAACAATCATAATTATTTGGTTCCTTTTCAGCCTACTATAGATAAAACCATTGGTCACGAGTCGAATTTGTGTTGTTTGAGAGTACATCCAAAAGAAAATAATATATTTGCATTGGGGGGAAGAGAACGTGATTTGACTTTATGGGATGTAAACAGCAATCCTACACCGATTACAAAAAATAAAGGATCAAAGAACGGAATAATTTGGAATGGGAAAAACATAAAAAGTGACTTTGCAGATTTGCGAGTTCCGATCTGGATTACTGATATACAATTCTTAGACGAACAAAATACAACAAAGATTTTAACTGGAACGAAGTACCATCAGGTAAATAGTTGTGATTTTTTTTGTCAATTATTTCTAAAAAAAATACTTTTAATTATTATTAATATTATATATTACATTTATGAATCAGATACGATTATATGATGTTAAAACGCAACGTCGACCTGTGTTTGAAGCAAGCGTTGGCCATAAGGCGGTGGTTTCGCTAATCGTAGGGAGAAATAAAAAGTAAATTTTTTCTATGTGCTTTTCGGTGTGTGTGCTGATTTGTGTATAAAAACTTATGCATATATAACTTGCTTTCATTTTTCGCCAGTGAAGTCATTTTTTCTGACACTGTTGGTAATATCTTTACTGTGGACCTTAGGAATGGTATGTGTTAATTATGACTATATCATTTTGATCGGAACGTGCCAATTATTTATTGTAAAATATATATATTTTTTAGCGAAAAATGTAGGACAATACAAAGGTTACCCCAAAGGTTCACTTAATTCTTTTTAATAATATTATTATATCATTGTCAATTCATTATATTAATAAATTTATGTAAAATTTTAAGGGGCTACGGGCTGTGTGACCAGTTTGTCCATCCACGAAAAGTCCTCGTCTTTAATTACTGTTAGTGCGGATCGATTCCTACGTGTGCATAAAATAGGCGAATTCCGTGATCAGAGGCATCAAGTATACCTAAATCATAAGCTTACACGCGTGTTGGTTGATGATGAAGATGAAAGTACGAAACTTTTAATGGTTAATTTTATTATTAAAAAAAAAAAAAAAAAACATTTATTAAGATTGTATTTTTTTTATTACAAACAGAGCCAATCGAGACAATCGTTGAAGAGACAGCTAATTTAGATGATAATCGACCAACTGCGAAAAGAAGAAAAACTACTAGAAAAACTGCTGGCAAATGAATGAAATGAATTTTCTACTCATTCAATTTAGCATTTATTTAGCATCTTTTTGTACTTGATAATAGAATTTATGAATTGAATATGTCTAAAAGTGATTTATCAAAATCCTTTGTCCATTAGCCATTTTTTCAATAAAAAGCAATAATCGCCCTTGATAACTACATTATTATTTGTATGATTGATTGTAACTTTAGAATGAGTAGAGTGATCTTTTGGAAAGAGATCCTTTTTGATGTCATTGCGAAGTGCCTATAATTTTTACTGTGTTAATAAGCGAATCTTTATTTTTTTAGTCATAAAAATTATTCCATAATACCTATAAATTACCTGAATATCACCTTCAATTCTTCTCAAAATAGTTAATATTCGTGTTCTTCCGTTTTTGAGATCAATATACACTGGTAACGATTTTTTATTTGTACGATGAATATAATACGGGTATTGGACATATTTTATTATAGGATTAGTTAGTGTTGTTAAACTAGACCCTTTTTGCATGATGACGAAAGATAATTTAAAATCGGCGAAAGTAGTCCACGCGATAAAATCCCTGTCGGATTAGCCTGATAATTGTAATACCCAATTTTATAGAAAGATAAGCTTAATATCAACGACAGATAAAATTTCTTGATAAGAATTTAAACTAATGCACGTGATATTATAAAACGTTCTGATCTCACGTGTATTTAGTGTGATCTACGTATTACGTACAGCGCCTGCGGCAATTTTTTTTTTTTACACGTACGTACGTACACAGTACGTAGAATATATATTATTTTCTAGATATTTTACATATACCATGAAAAATTTTAATAGAAAGTATTTATGAGTTGTAAAATATTAAATTACTGTCACATGATTTTGATAAACATCCGCGGAAATTTTTTTGTATAAATAAATAATGTATGCTATTTTACATACGATTTTGCATAGTCGACTAACCCAATTTTTAAATTTTGGCCAACTATAAATACTATATATCTTTAAAGCAATTAAATCAATCATCTAAATACCAATATAAAATAAGTAATAAATTTGTTTAATTATAAATACCGTTAAGTTTAATGTAGCACTTACCAAGAGGAATTTCAACAGAATCGATAGGTTTACTTCGTAAGGTTGCTAATATAAATATAATTAGTTTTAAATGAATAGATGATATAGTGTAATTTTAAAATAAATACCTTGAATTGCTGAAATTCTTTGAGTGTTGATAATTTTGCTAGTGTACATAAAATCATGATGTTTTGGCGAGATAACTGGCAATTCTTTGAC